AGCTGTGGCTAGCTCATAGTGCTGCTCCTTAACCTGCTTCACCACCAAGGAGGGCCTAGAGATGCTTTTCTAAAAGATAATCTGAACCTGGGGCACACATGGCAGAACAGTGGAGAGAAGAATAAAGAAACAGATATATTCTTTAGTATGGCGGTAGCTACATAAATGATAGCCCATCTGATGGATGAGACACAAGCGTCTTAGCAGGGGAGGGAGCCTTAGGCTGCAACAGGGAATGAGGCTAAAGGGTAACGCTGAGTTTAAAGAGAAAAGAAAGAGACCAGGTGTGAGTGTTGACAGTGCAATGATCCAACTCAAACAAACATTTTTTTAAAAAATGCTTAGAGGAACAAAGACTGGAAAGAACAACAACAGAGTTCAAACCAGGGGTGTGCTGGAACAATGGGTTTATGAGTGTTTCCCAAAAAGCTTTATAATACCTTGTTTAAAAGGGGTAGAGGAAGCACAACAAGCACATTTATAATAGAACTTGTCTGCTTAAGGGTTTAGAAGAAATTGTTAAAACTTTCAAATAGCTTTCAGAATCTGACTTGTTGATAAACCTAGAACTGCAGTATTTTTCAAAATGAGGTGGCCTTCAGGTCCCCCAGGTCACCATGGTTGGGGATGGGAGGCAGTGTGGCACAGGCTGTGTTTATAAGGCTGTGTCTATACCTCCTGCCCCACCGAGATCCACTTCCGAAAGACATGTGGTATCTAGGGTGTTAGGGAGCAGCCTACCCCAGGCAAGGCTCTCCCACATGTGAGGTTGAGCTGGGTTCCCCTAATAAGTTATGGCTTCCAAATCTGGAAAACAAGCCCACCCCCTCCCCAAATGCTCAGAGTCCCCCTCAACCCACTGACCTTGTGGATCTGAAGAATTATGTCGTAGAGTTGAATATGGTTTAGCAGAGGGAGAGGGAAACCTTTTTCCAGCAGCTCTGTAGGGTAAGAGATTTGTTAGTAACATTTTTCCAAAACAAAAAAAAAAAGTCCTCTTTGCAAACTCTATACACAGTACATTCCCATTTCATTGTCACGCCCATCTCATAGAAAAGCCATTGAAGTTCAGAGAGGTGAAGTGACTTACCCAAGGTCACACAGCCTGCAAAAGAACCTTTTATCCCAACTCCAAGTCTAGCTCACTTTCCACTAAACAGTAGTGTCACTCTTAACTTGGAAAAATCCACAGGGATACTTACCGTTGATCTTGGGGTAAAGGTTGTTGAGGATGTAGTCGTTGAGTAATGCCTCCAACAGCTCCACCTGGTTGGAAACAGGAGAGGTATAACTGTACCCTTGTGCCATCTTGCCCACTGACAAACTCCATGCCACTCTGGGGGTGGCTGTGCTGACATGGTAAGAGGCTTGAAGTAAGCGACTGCAGTAGGTACCTACATCATGCTACTACTTTTATAAGATACAACTGTCTCAACATACACACGTGTATGTATGCAAGTGACGAAAATGTTTTGGAAAGTTACATGTCTCTGGTATTTTCTTCCAGGGAGAACAACCAAGGATTGACTTAGTCTTATCTCTGTTACTCTGTTATTTAACTTTTTTTTTTAACAGTGAGAATGTTTTCCTAAATTAGTTGTGTGCTAAAAAATTTTTTTAGTCAAAACAAAATTTATGAAGCACATCTTGTGACACTCCCCATGCTCCATATATAGGGTGTAGAGCCTTATATAGCTATAGGATTCAGCCTCCACAGTAACGCCTGGAAGGTGAGGATAATGTTCCCATTTACAGATAAGTAAAGCAAGGCCCTCAGAATGAAAGTGTCTTACTGGGAATGGGGCAACAGGCTTAGGGTGGGGGTCCCGATGTATCTGATTCTACAGGTCTTGTTTTTCCCACTCCATGTTCTGAACGCCTGATAGGATGACTTTGTGAATGTTTTGTTTATGGAACCTTTCTACATGCCCTGCACAGGTACAGTCTTAGTCCTTTTCTCTGGGAGGAGGCATCTCTCGGGATCTCTCAGGGCAGGGTCTCTCCCTCACTCCAGGGATTTGTTTCTACTTCATCAGCAGGTAAAGGGAAGTCTGGGCAGAGGACAGCAATAAGGTGGTCACAATAGCCCGGCTCTGTGGGAAACGAATATCACTCCTGAGGGTCAGCTCGTCCATCTCTGCTCAGACTGTGAGAAGCAGCTGCCATCACCACCTCCCCTCTTTCCAGAGATTTCTCTTGATGGCTTCGCCCACATCAATCTCCCCATCCTTTCCCTTCCTCTATTGGAGGTGGGGACATCTATTTCACAACTTTCCTCCTTGTGGAAGTCACTTGATTTTGCCTGCCCATTATGGAATTCTGCTTGTTTTCAGTAGCAGAATCCCTATTTTTCTCTAGGGAACCCTCTTAGCTAATCCAGTATACGCTTTCCAGGAGTGTAGTCAAACCCATGCTTGATCAATTGATCTTGTCCAGTTTCTAGCCACAGTGATTGGCTAAAGAATGGGCAATGCTAAGATGCATCCTGTGAGCACTAGCACAAAGATTGTGCTTTTACTGGGTAAAAAGTAAAAGGAAACTACAGGAAACTGGAGGGTTTTCCACTAATTGGAAGAACCTGTCTGAGAACAAGGCCAGTGCACAAAGGAGTGATGAAGAGTTGCTTGCTCTACCTATGGCAGCCTCTGGATCTAGCAAAGCCTTTTTTTCCCCCCAACTGTTCTTAGTTATAGGTATTCCTACACATCAGTTAGGATACTTTCAGTTGGCTTTGTTCTTTGTAGTTGAGGAGTCTGTCCAGTATATGATTTAATAATTAATAGTATGTATGGGGTGTAGCTGTTCCTTGGCCCTACTTCATGTCCTTGAGAGTTTCTGTGCTTCTCTAGGGCAGAGAGAAACTCTTCTTCATTTCTTGTTTCTATTATAGCTGTCATAGCCTTGCTTAGTAAACACTCTAAATTGATTAATCTAATCATTTCATAAATAAAATACTTACATTGAATATTCCGACTTTAGATTCCTTCAGTTCCAAATGTATCCTATAATGAAAAAAAGAAGGTTCAGAGCTTGGGCATTATGCCCATAGGAAACCTCACCAATGTGGGGATTAGCAGAAAAGAGAAGGCATCTACTTGACAAGGCTCAGGTCCAAGGATGGGATGGGGGAGGTAGGAGTGAAAAAAATGAGCAAACAGCCAAGAACAGTGATGCAGTACTATTGAGAAGGTTGGCAAGGGAAAGCAGGTCAAGTCAAAGAACTCCATCTACCTGTATTTTCAGGAAGTTAACGCAGCTGATGTCTAAAATTCATAGGTTTAAAAAAAAGCACTATTAGTAATTTCCTTAGAAATTTGGGATGGGGGATTAGGTGGGAAAATTCTGTGCAGGCAGGGCTGGTGAAGCAAAAGAATTGGACCAACTAGAATGAAAATTAATTTTCCTTTCCAAATTGTGAGCCACCTCCCCACCAACACTGACAGGAATATCTCATCATTCTCCTACCCCAGCTACAGACTTAGGAAACACAGTCGAGTGCCCCCTTGTGGTCAGCAGGCACACTTACTTTTCGGGCTTTAAGGACGCAGTGATCCTGTTGGTGCTGAAGATCAACATGGCGGATATATTAGTGGCCTGGAAATGCCGGTAGAAGGAAGGGGATGTAAGTGAGGGAGGCCATCACACACAGGAAGAGCAACTATGGTGGGAGGGGCGAGGGGGGCGGTTTACCGCTGCTAAGCAGATGGTTCAATGAATCAATGCAGGCCATTGCTATTAGACTGTAGAATCCCAGAAGGTGCACTTAGGTGCTCAATAAATGTTTGAACGTGAACATTTTTTCTTGAAATTGTTGATATGACAGCAGTTAAACTCTGAACAGATTACCAAGGAAGGGAAAGAGTACCTGTCCCTGACAACCTCTAAATGGGATAGTTTCTAGCTATTTCAGGGCCAAGATTCAGTCCTGATGATGATGATGATGATGATGATGATGATGGTGTTACCTTAAAATATATTGATAACGGCAATATAAAATCACAGATATAACATCTAGGACCAATTATTCTTGCACAGATTTGTCTTACTGAATTCTAAACCTGAAACAAGATAGCTAATTTCTCTATCCAGTGAAAAGGATCCCCAAGGTACTCAAATCCCTTAGACAGGTCTACGGAGAAATTAAATATTGCAGCAATATTTAATGCAAAGGCAATTTAATGCAGGGGATGTGTTTACAAAAATGACAAATTGCTGAGATGCCAGAAAAGAATTGGAGAGGCAACTCAGGCGTTAGCAGAGAAACAGGCCACTTCCACCCCAAGAGGAAGGAACTGGAGTATGTGTGAGAGCGACTGGGTCACTGCTAGAATCTCTGCCCAAGGCCAAGAGGAAAATGTGCTCTGGCCCTCTCTTTCCTCCTGCTCTCCATTCCCATCAAGTGTCTGATGGACGGAGCCAGCTGGAATTCGGGCATAAGACAGTCAGGGAAATGGAACCTCCCGGGGTTCAGACATAGATTCAGAGCAGAGCAAAGACTCCTTTACATCCCCCCCCTCCCCCAGTAGCCCAGACTCAACTAGTGGGAGGAAAAAGATACAAATTTGGAGCAAGTAAGTCTATAACAGCTATGTAAGTGTCGGCTTAAAAAACCTGATAAAGAAAAATAACAGGGAGCTTCAAGAATAAATAAATAAGGCAGACCAGGAATAAGGGCCATCAAGAAAGTTCTCTGAGGAAGTGATATTTACGGTGAGCTCTGCAAGCACTAGCTAGTAGTGAACCTGGGGGGAGTGTTCAGGAACAGGGAACAGCATCCGCGAAGGCTTTGGATCTTACCGCACCAAGCACGAAGACAGGCACCCGGCCAGTGCGTGACAGCACGAAGCCCGCAATCTCCATCTCGGGGGTCACGGACAGGTTCCCAGGGCTGAAGTTCAGTACAGGGGCAGAGACTACTGCTCCCTGGAGCTCCAAGTACATGTTGGGGTACAGCCTGGCTAACTGGGGGGAGGGGACAATGAGGAGATGACGTCAAATGAAAAAAATATGCAAAATACTAGCCCAGGGCCCGCAGCCCACTGGGTATGTGCATTCAGTCTGACAAACTGCATAGATTTGGAACGAGAACTGGCTGGTTGGAGGACAGGAGTGGAGAGGGCTTTCCATGCCACACTATTTCATGTCTTGAACTATTATCACCCAACCAAAAATATTTTTTGAAGCACCAGGAATAGTCCTGGCCTCTGGTAGGTGTCCATCCCTGTTGGATTTATGAATTAGGGTACATTTTGCAGGACATGTTAACATTCGCTGGGATTCTTAGATATCCCCACTAAAAGTATTGGGCAACTTGTGGCCAAATTAGAACCAGGCTTGAAAGGAAGGGAACCCCAAAGCCAGCAGCACCCCAGCCTTCATGAGGGGCAGACTGTCAGCTTTGTAACTGTTGGCTAAGTGGACAAGAGGCTTTAAAGAGAAGTCTTTGAAGCCCAGGGAGCTCAGTGTGCACTCCCTAAGGGCTGAGGGACATCTTACCCGAGGGGCAAAGGAACGGAAGGACTTGGTGTTCAGTCGGATGTTGGAGTCGGATGGAATCTGCAGCAAAGAGACAGGAAAGTTTTAGGATGCTCTGGGGGAGCAAAGGTCTATAAAGGTGGGGTGAGGGGGAATGGTCAAGACCATAGCTTCTCAAATGTCCTGGGTCACCATGGCAGGGACCATCCAGATGCCTGCCCTGCACCAGCACATGAGTCTGGGGCGCAGACTGCACCTTGGGGTGCAAGTACATACAGGAAACACCTCAAGGGTCCACAAGGTGAGGCGTGCAATCACACAGGCCGGCATTTGGCTGCAGGCCTTGTTGCTGTGTGGTCCAGGGCCAGGCCCTTTACCTCTCTGAGGCTCGAGGTCTTCATTCTAACATGGGGATAACCAGTCTCCACCCATCAGGTCACTGTTTAGGACAAGGGCTAGCAAGTGAGCACGGAGCAAGTCACAGCTGCTAGATTGTGGCCGCTAAAAGCACAGCAGCAGTAAATATGATTGCAGCAAATGGCCCACAAGTGGGAGAGGTCATCCCAAGGAAAAAGCCCATGCCATCCATCCACCATATGCCCCTGGCTTATGATGAGAGAAAACTGGCCTGCTCCTGGCCTGTGTTCCTGTCACCATCCTCATATTGTTCACAGCCTTCAGCTTTTTAAGGAGCAACAAGAAACAATCTTCTGAAACCCAGAACTATTAAAGAAACTGAGAAATGTTGATGATATGACCACAATAACATTTGGTCTTGATTATATAAAGCCTCAGGGAGTTGTCTTAGAGGTAGGTGTTAGGAAGACTTCCTATAGGGGAGCTCCCAGATAGATTTTCTATTAAAAACATCAATTTGTGGGCACAGTGTCTTCACAGTCATGCTTTACTTTTATTTTTTATTCTATGTAACCATGTACATTTATCAGTGTGTCTTTCATTCTTCCCATTCACTAAAACATTTTTTAAAGGTCCAAAAACCATGAAAATGAGACAAAATATGAATTAGAATAACATGTCTAGGCTGGGGTGGGGCAGGGGATGTGACATAGAAACAAGCTACAAAGCCTTCCATAGTTATATGGGAGAAAGAACTTGACTTTGAGCTTCCTGGAAGCCAAATTACAAAGGGAGAACATTTCCCCCTTTTTATATTTTGCTTGTCTTTTTCCTGGTCTTGATCTTTTTCTTAGTCTGTATTTATTATTTCACTGATGTGACTAGAAGGAAAGGGAAGAAGGAAGGAAAACAGGTTATTTGTTCCTCTGTAAGTGCTCTTCTGCACCGTCCTTACCAAGTCATCTGTGATGGAGAAGTTCAGGTATCCTGCCTTTTGATATATCAGGCTGGCAGAGTTGAAGACATAATTAGAGATGATAAAATAAACCATTCTGTTGTGTTCCTCAGGAAGGTTCATAACTGGAGGAAGGACAGCAACTCGGGAGTGGTGATTGTGGTTAAAAATTTCACCCTAAAGAGAGAAATAGGGTCCACTTGAACTTTTTAGTCTGTCCCATTACCAGACATCTGAGCAAGGTAGTCCTGTCGGTGTTTGTGTGTGGGGGTGGGGGGAAGGTACACACTGACTAGAGATAATTCCTGAAATTCTACCAGTAAAGGCTTTTTCCTTTGAAACACTGTTGTCTATCCAGATCCCTTCATGGAAAGTTTCTGAATGCACTAAACTTTGGTATATGGATAATACAACCTATTGTCTGGCTGCTCTATACCACCCAGGGCCAGCTCTGACAGACATCACCTGCATAATGGGCAAGGCAAAGGAGGGGGGCAAAGGAGGAGGGGGAGTCTTAAGACCCAAGAGTTGGAAGTCACCTGTGGGAGGATGCTAGCTTTGGGAACAGTCCCTCCCCCCCCCACCACTCCATATTGCCTGATTCTCATCACAGCTGGTACCACTGGGGAAATGAGGTAAGATTGGGAGCTGGGGGCATGCGAGGCTCCAAGAAAGGAGTGGCCCTGAGGGATGACTACATTGGGGTTGGACCCATCCAAGGCCATATTCCAGGACACTTACCTTAAGCATCATGTCCAAAGTTTGAGTTGCTGCCTTTGGTGCCTCCATTAAACTGTAATCAACACTGATGAAACTGTCAATCTCTGTTGAGACTGTGGACCCAGGAAAAGGCAGAATTAGGAGATAGGTAATAGAAAAGGGGTGAGAGCTCTGGCTGACCCACATCCCAAGAAATGGTTGCAATGTATCATCAGCAAATTCAATAAAGCTGCAGGATACAAAACCAACATACAAAACAAAGTTGTTTTTATATACTAATAATGAAATATCTAAAAAGGAAAGCAAAGGATCCCATTTACAGTAGTATCAAAACTAATAAACTACTTAGGAATAAACTTAGCCGAGGAGGTGAAAGATCTGTACGTTGGAAACTATGACTGATGAAAGAAATTGAAGGAGGCAAAAACAAATAGAAAAGATAGCCCATGTTCATTGACTGAAAGAATCAATATCACTAAAATTTCCGTACTCCTCAGTGTCATCTATAGATTCAATGCAGTTTTTATGAAAACTCCAATGGTATTTCTGAAAGAAGCAGACAAAGCAATGCTAAAATTTGTATGGAACCACAACCCTGAGTAATGCAATCTGAGAAAACTGGTGGCATCATACATACTCTATGACTTCAAATCCTACCACAAAGCAATTGTAATCAAAACAGTATGGTATTGTCATTAACAATAGTCAAGATTTGTGGTGATGGTACACACGGGTGAAATGGTGATGGGAGGCCCATGGAGATTACAAGTGAGATGGAAAAATGCACAAAATGAAGAATGATGTAAAGAAAATTATGTTTATGGTGTAAAAAAATAAATAAAATTGAAATATCAAAAAAAGAAAATAGAAAAGGTATGGAAACAATTGATGCCAGCCAACAGATGGACTGTGTGTCCAAGAAAGTGTGTGTGTGTACATCATACATATGTGTGTGACAAAATACTATTCAGTCATGAAAAAGCAGGAGACCCTGCCATAGGAGACAATATGGATAGAACTTGAGAACATTATGCTAAGTGAAATAAGTCACGCAGAGAAAAAATAATATGGTTATCATTTACAGAATGAATATAATGAATCTTAGAAAGCTGAATTTGTAAAAGCAGAGATTAGAATGGTAGTAACAGGACCTGGACTGCCTGTGGGTAAATGGCAAGATACTGATCAAAGTGTATGAACGTCCAGTAAGAAAATGATATAATACTCAGCATTGTGAGCAAAGTTGACAGTGTTGTACTATGCATCTGACTGTTGCTAGGAGAGGAGATCAAATGTTTCCAGAAAAGAAATAGTAATTATATGAGGAGATGGAGGTGTTAGCTAAGGTTACAATGATAATCACATTGCTATGGATAAGTGTATTCAGTCAGCATATTGTACTTTAAACTTACAAAATGTTTATGTCAATTAGTTTTCAACAAAGCTGGATAAATTAAAATTCAGTCTTTTAAGATGAAAAAAGAAAATGTGTGCTGATATAGAAAGATCTCCAAGTATGCAAGTTACAGAAGAACAATGCACATGCAAAGAAAAATAGAAAAAGATGGATTCCAAACAGGGAATCTCTTGGAAGAAAATTTGAGGAGAAAAAAGAACTCTCAACTTTCTACACCTTGCTCCATGTAGTGTTTTATGAGGTATGCATATGCTTTTATTATTAGAGGTAAACTGTCCCAGGAATGGGTGGGAGGCTGTACCTGGCAGAGTTTGGAGATAAGGCTGTAGGTCAGAAGTCACTGATTTGTAGATCAATTCACAAATCTGAAAAAAAAAAAAAAAAGGAAGCAGGAGCCTGTGTGAGTGCCTGGACTTTGGTCTGGTCCTGTGCTCATTACTTGGTCACATTATTGCATCTATCTGCTCTTTCTTATCCATCCCATAAGTATTTATGGTACTTATAATGTGCCAGCTACTGAAGAAACAGAAATAATTAGAAATATACAGGTTTCCCCCTAGATCCCAACAAAGTCCAACTGGACATTTCAGGTTCAACCTCAAATCTGCCCCATGGACACAGGGAGTCCTCTCCACAGCCTGATTGGGGTTCACGGACCAGATGGAGGCACTGCCCGAAGTTCCATCAGTAAAGTTGCTTTTCACTGGGAGGCCTTGGCCTCCAGAATGCAGAGCTGAATTGCAGAACTAGACAGGAAAAGGAAGCAGCCAGCCAAGGAATTGTAAGAGTTTATGCAGTTTGCTTCTTAAATGGCATTGCTTCACAGGTGGGCTGGGTTGACCAGTGTTTTCCCGTGATGCCTGTTAAGAGGGGATGCTCTTGAGGCTACAACACACAGAATGTGTGGACACCATGTGAGCTGCAAGCTTCTCCAGAAAAGAAAATGTCTTCTCAGAAGTGTGTGTTCTACTCGCTATTGAAAACACTCAAATCATTGTTTATGCAAACCAATGAATTATGAATGAGAAAAGAGTTGTTTCTATGAAAACCTAAGAGAAAAATCTCTGGAAAGGTGAGTTGCTTCAAGAAAAATGCTGTTAAGTTTGGAATGGACAAGAAAAGCTTAGGAAGGAAAAAAAATAGAAGGATGCTGTTCTCCGATGGCTTCACAAATGTCTTTCGATTCTCGTGTTTCAAGGAATCTGTGCTGTGATTTGTTGCAGATCGATGTTTTATGCAAGAAAGACTTCAGTGCCAATAGAGAGGCTGTTTTCAAGGACCTGGCCCAACATCAAAAGATAGCAAACAAATTTACATTTCCTTACATGTAAATATTTTCTTTGTTCACGGATATGAAAGCCTTCTCCCTTAAAACAGGTTTTTAAATTAACCAGCTACCACCTGCTGTGCTAATGGAGCCACAGGTATTAACGGTGGGAGAGAGTCATGTGGGGGTCTCAGGTGCCTGGGATACCCCGGCTTAGTGTGGGGTCACAGAGGGCTCCCCTGAAGGGACATTTTAAGGGCAAGGCAAGGCAGGAGATTGTGGGGAAAGGCCAGACAGGGTGGGGCAGGAGTGCAGGGAAGCTTAACCCCGAGGAGAGACCCCATTTCTGGGAGAGACTCTGGGAGTGAAGAAACTGCTTGCAGCCGAAGAAAATGGTGGCGAGCAACATCTGTGATACCTTGCAAGGGAACCAGGAATCTTGTTTTTTCTTGCAGATCAGGGCCCATCACATCAACCCAGAGCCCCCAGCCTGTGTGCCCACCCGTTAGGGGGGCGTGAGTGAGTGAGGAGGGTGCTCTCAGGTGCCCCAGTCCAGACATAGCGGAGCTTCCCACAGAGGGGGGCAGGGTCGTGGTTAAGGGTGCAGTGGGTGAGTGGGACAAACCCAGGGTTACATCCTGTCCCCCAGCTTTTCCCACGGTGTTTTGGGGGACAGAGCAAGCGCCCGACCACTGCTCAATATTCTTCTCAGCCCTGCTGCTCAGGGACCACATCCCACCCCTAGCGGGGACTTTGCAGGGTCCTGGCCCAGGTGCTTGGTCTCCCTGGGAGGAAGGTGGACTCATAGGATGGGGTCAGGTGAACGCTTCACCCTTCCCAAGCCACCCAGCTGCCACAAGGCCTTTAGTACTGGCGCCCCAAGATCCAGGAGGTTCAAGGCCCCCCGCAGCCCCTCCCAGCTGGCTGAGTGAGCCCCTCTCTGAGCCCCTTCTCGCAAATGGGGAAAGTGGTCACTCCAGAGTTTGAGGTGGACTGAAGACACCACGTGGGAGTGTGCTCAGCACATTATTCTTGGCCAAACTGCAGCACACAAAGCGTTGCCATTATTATTTCCAGTAAGAATAGCTACCCAATAATATATTCTGTATAACATTAATTACATTAATTTACCAAAGCCATGGTATATCATCGGCAATTTATTATCACTGATAATTACTATGTTCCAATTCATTTTAATAGATTACAATTGTTAGAGAATATTGTTGTAAATCATTTTTATCTCTATCATCAGCAGGGAAATATAAATCCACCCTGCTGAAGAATATTATGGCCCACTCAGAACATGGCAAGGGGTGCTGGGGAAAGAGGTTGGCATGTTTCCCCAGTTCGCCTGGACCCCAGGACCCCAGAACAGGGCCTGAGGGCAGCTTGTAACATCCAGCCTAAGGTCCGCGTGCTGTTCCCAGCTCAGTCACAAGGAGGCCTCCAAAGCCAAACCAGAAGCAGGCCCAGGAGCGGGTGATGTGTCTGTCTGGGCCACCTGGCTTTCCTCCTTCAGGACTTCCACCCTTCCCAAGCACAGCCATTGCTCCAGACACTGTCCCTGACGTATGACATCTCAGGGTGGGACTTTGGGGTGAAGTGAGTGTTCAGGAAATTAAAGCTTAACGTGGATAAAAGATTGAAACTGTTTCAGTCAGAGACCCCAACCTATAGCAGGTCCACCAAATTCTGGGTGAAAGCAGAGCACCCACATGGTTGACATGTTCCAGAAGCTTGTTGCTTGCCCCTGCAGACACTGAGGGCTGCTGTCTCGCTTGACCACAGGGGTGGGGGTTGGGGGGGTGCAGGGCAGTGGGGTGGGGATGGCAGTTGGGGGATTTGGTGGTGACAAAACCAAACAGAGGGACATTTTACTCTTTGCCAAGAGTTCCACCATTCTCCTCCTAACTGGACTGGCTCAGAGCCCAGAGACCCACGTTTTGCCCATGGATTTGCCACATACCTGCTCTGTGACCTTGGGCAAAGGACTGTTCTTTAAGGCCCCAGGTAGGCCTCTGTCAGACCCCACCACTGTCCAGGTCCAGAGGTCAGTAAAAGGCCCCAGCACCGTTCCCTGGCCCTTGAGAGGCTCAGTGGACACCAGCAGCTCAGACGTCCTTACCTTGCTCTCCAGCTCTCGCTGGAACTTGGATTCGATCTGGTTGTGGAAGAGATTCAGCAGCCAGCTGGAGAGAGGGCACAGTGGACAGTCAGCTGTGTGCCACTGATGTAGGGACAGTGGGGCAGCAGGGAAAGCCAGGCCCTGGCTTCAGGCCTGTCCAACCCCCAAGGGAGCCCGTCCTACCCCAGCCTGGTGCTCTGTTGTGGCCAAAATGCAGATGAAGCAAAAATGCAGAATTGCAGTTCCCAGCACATTCACTGATTTAGACACCTAGATCCCAGCCCCTGTTGTACCCCAAGCAGATCCCGTAGATTTGGGGGATCCACATCTTTCTACTTAAGGAAACTGAGGCCCAGAAAGACTTGCTCCAAGGTTTGTACATATTGTCCTAAACTCTCCTTTGGCCAAAAACCTCTCTTTTTCTCCAGTGGCCAAATTTCATTCATCTGCTGATGGTGCCCTGCAGTTTGCTTTTGTGGTGACTCCTGGCTCGAGTCACATCTGTGGTTCCCCAGGATGTGTTCCCCAAGGGTGCCCTCCGAGTGCCCGGATGTGCCGGCGCACTGTGTCTGGGTCCCTCATTGATGAGAGCATCCTCGGGCTGGACGCGGGAGGGTCAGGCTGGCCGGTGTCCCTGTGCTTGGCCTACCTTGCATCACCTGACACATCCACATCCACGTCCCCGATGTGACTGTGACACCTGGAGGCAGAGACTGTAGGTCGCCCAGAAGAGTCGCTGCCCAAGAGGAGGTCGAAGGAAATGGCGATGCCCCTGACCTGCAGGTCAAAGAACCCCTGCAGTCTCCTGGAGGGGAGAAAACAAGGAGTAGTTGATTCCTAGACCAAGGCCAGTCACCATTTGGGGAGGAAAAGGAAAAGTTCATTCCTTACCTGTAAAATGAGTGGAAATGGCACAAAGCTTAATCATGGAAAATTATTACAGATGTGACAAAGGAAAGGCTTACTACAAATAAGATACTGAGATCAAGATGCAAGCCTGAGTTGATGATCAGAAATACACAAAGGCCTTTCCAGGCGAGATCCAGATCCCAGACGCCATCGGCAAATGACTAACAGCCTTGCCAGCAGACAAAATGAAACTTCAGGGACCAAAAATGTGCCATAGGCAAAGTGGAAAATAAAATTGCGCCACGAGCCAAAGAGCTGATTTCCTTAACATGTGAGCTAAAATATGAGCTCATTTCCTTAACACACAAAGAACAAACCTGTACAAATTAGCATAGAAAGGACAAGCCAAGCCAAAAGGGAAAAGAAGACAGTGAATATATGGTGGGTGTGTGTGTGTGAGGGGTGGGGATCGATTGCAAATAAGCTCCTGAAAGTTTATTAAAAATGAAAATAGGGCCCTCCCTGGTGGCACAGAGGGTTAAAGCACAGCACTGAGAAGCTAATGCCTCTTCAGCATGAGTTCAATCCCCACCCCGGAGGTGACCACATGGCGCGGCAGACCTCTCCTGACCCGCCCGCTGTTCCCCTCAGCAGTGTACTTCGTCGATCTGCCTGTTCTGCTCCCCACTGTCTCTGGTGAATCTTCTCACTGCCCTGCACCTCTGACCTATACCCCAGCTCTATATGCTCAAATCAATAAATCTTTAAAAAAAAAGAAAAGAAAAGAATAACGATGCCAGTTTTCCACTAGTAGGAGGGTAAAACTTTTAAGTATTAACAGCCAGTGTCTGTGAAGATCGGGGGCCCCACACATGGTGGGGGAAGAGCACGCCTGGAGTGTCAGTTTTGGGGGGTCTATCCTAATTTTAACACATGTATTTCTGAACCCAGCAACTGAGGCCCCTCCTCCCAAGGTGTGGTGTAGTGGCAGCTACCTGAGGAGACCACCAAAATATCAGCTGGAAGGGGCAGCTTCCGTGCTTCATGGGCATCTCTGCTCTACACCTAACAGAAACGAGGCCCTGGGTGTCTCTCTACACAGGGAGAGGTGACTCGCCAAGAGGAGGAAGGACGGCCCAGGCCAGAGGGCGGGCAGGACGCAGAAACACTCTGCTAGGGAAAGAAGGCAGCTCGATGGCACTGGCAGACGATGACAGCCTGATTGGGTGACGCCTCAGGGACCCGCACGTAGGGGTGGTGGCTGCTGTGTTGGCGGGGAGGGAGATGGGGAGTGACCGCTTGATGGGTCTGGAGGGATCTCTTGGGTTGATGAAGATGAGGTGGAAGTAGGTTGAGGTGATGGTTGGATGACATGGTGAAAATGCCACTGCATTGTGGATTTGCACATGGCTGGTTTTGTGGTGTGTGAGTTTCCCCTCCACAGAAATATTACATTAGTCTTAAAGTGACGTTGATAGCACATTCAAAAAGGCAATAGCATCCCAAATGTAATCCGCATGACGTTTATTAATGAGAAGCCTCATGTTCTTTTTTGAACTATATCTTCAAAAGCAGCGTTTCCCACCTACAGCAGCTCTTGATTTGTACCAAATTTTCAAACACTCCGAGAGACACATGACTCGAAGCTTCTGCCCTGGACAGTGCAGGTCTAAAGGTTGGCTCATCCGGAAGAGACAGGTCAGCCCTTCTGTTATGGGCTACATTGGGTCCTACTCGCCCCTCCCCCAAAACATGTCGAAAGCCGAATCCCCCCACACCTCAGAGCGTGGTTATGGGCCTTTACATGGTGGTCATGGAAAAATGAGGCCGCTCGGGTGGGCCAGGGTCCGAGCTGGCTGGGTTCTCAGAAGCAGGGGGCAGTTAGGACAGACGCCCATGCGCTCCCCCACAGAGGGCGGTCTAAGCCCCTGGTCAGTGACGTACACTATGGTAGTCCAGGCACACTGACCCACCAGAGTTAATCAGAGGTCAGAGGAGACTTCAAAGTGCTAGAGTCAGCGCCTCTGGGTGCTGCCCCTGACCAACAGCAAACAGGAAGGCGGTCACAGGGCAGCGCTGGGGTAACACAGAGGTGTGCTACCTCACAGGGCTGCCGAGTTCAGTCCCTGCCAAAGCCAAGGCCGTTGCCGAGGTCATGTCCCAGATAAGTCCTTGCCCTGATTCTCAGCTTGGTGTCTGCTGCTGGGAGGAAGCAGATGCAGCCATCTCACCTAGCCCGCCCTCCAAGGGGCCAGGACTCGGACACCACTTCACCTCTGGGCTGGGCTCCTTCAGCCCACCGTGTGGACTTTCTGATGAGCTAGGAACACCTAGACCCAACAAGGACGGGACGTCTATGATGGGCAAGGTCAAAGGCCTAAGGGCTGTGGAGCAGGATCAACTTACACGAAAGACTTGCGTGCCTTCCACCTGCCCTGCACCATGATGTCGGAGTTGGAGACGGAGAAAGCCAGGCCCTGGCTGGGGAGGGGTTTCAGAGAGGAGGCCCGCAGCTCACAGTGGTGGATCTGCAGACTAGAAGAGACACACAGAGGGCAGCGTGAGGCCTGGCCTGGGTCTAGTCGGGCAGCAGCTCGCTACAGAGAGCCTACCAGGCGTCCTGCGGGCCTTGCTTAAGGCTTCCCAAGTGTGTCCTTAGGTCTTGGCCTGACGGTCAGCTTCCTGCTCCCTCCTTACAAAGCGGGGGTTAGAACCTCCAGGAAGGGATGGTTTGCCTGAAGTCGCACAGTCAGACACAGAGCCCGGGGATCTGCCCACCCCCGGTAGAACCTGGAGGAGAGCCTACAGCAGCACCCCTTTTTGTTTGCAGCTCATTCACCCAGACATCTAACCGCTAAGATGACACGTACTGTGAGGTTGTCAGCTGGAAAGAAATGATCAAGTTTTGCTTTGTCTGCCACATAGCAGGTGTTCAATAAATATTTGCTGAGGGACTGAATGAAGAAGGAATAAATGAGGCAGTTCCTAGTAGTGAGCAGGGAGTTAGTAGTGAGTAGTGAGGGGGCTGTTAAGCTCTGGGCTCCACTGTCACCCCTCTATTGCCCATCCCTCAAAATAGAGTTTCGTGCCTCTTTTAGTATCAGCTGCTACCATCTAGTGATCCTTTGAAGATCACTCTAGTGCCACCACTTCTGGGAAGCCTTCTTTGACTCCCCCAGATGGACAAACCTCAGCGCGCCGACAGTGGGATACTTCTATTTAAGGTTTAGGTTCTGTCTCCCCCCTGGACGACATGCGGCAACTAGACCGGAATCTGGATTATGGCCCCCAGGAGGTAGCTGTACCATCCGCTCTTACAGATGGGGACACTGAGTTCAGTCACACAGCTCGCCTGCTATTTGCTGCACCAGTGAATGGGAGAGTCCAATTCCTCCCCAGCACGGCCTCCTG